GATTTGAAACTGTAAAATATTACAGTTTCAAAGTATTATTCTTTTAAGCATTTATCCTTATTAGTCAAATTAAAAAACATGTTATGAAACTGTAAAATTTTACAGTTTTAAAAAATGTTATGAAATTGTAAAATTTTACATTTTTAAAGCATGATTCATTTCAATACCAAAAAAATGAAACTGTAAACTTTTGCAGTTTTCACCGCTTGTAACTAAAATTTAAAAACAACTAATTCAAAACTTGAAAAAATTTCTCTATTAAAATAAGAAAATAGAAGTGTGTAACAGAGAAAAGATAAAAAAATTGAGAAATTGATGGAGAGAAACTGATATAGAGAGAATATTGTACCCCGATAACTATTTTTTAGTTTAGATCTAGTCAAATCTGATGTAGATTTACTCAGATCTGATGTAGATCTACTCATCTTCTTTGTCGGAAGCTCGTCTCTTTCGCTGTCGATAAGGATAAAGTAAGGAGTCGATGGTCGGTGGTTACCGGTGAATCCCAATTAATGATAGTCGTCGGTCATCAGTGACTATGTATTACAAAGAGAAAGAGAAGAAGTAAGGAATGGCCGCGGTTCATCAAAAATCAGGAAGAGAAAGAGGTAGAGAACAACGAAGATAGGGAAAAATGAAGAAAAAAAATATGTAGTGAAGTTTTGAGAGTATTCAAAAGGTTGTGAGACTAAATAGACTTATCTTTTTTTAAATAGAACTTCCAAATAATTTGTCCAAACAAATAATGGAAAGAGAAAGTACTACAATTATTAAAAAATCAATTTTTTCTATAATTTGTTTTCTTTTCTTAACAACTGAACGAAGTCTAAAGTGTTTTGAAGAAAATTCTAGCTGGCCAAGTCACCCTTGTTTTAGCCCATATTGGATGAAATTGAAACATGTGGATTATTTGGAAAAATAAGTTGTAATTCAGTTGCAATGTGTGAAATTGATGAATTTTATGGAATTTAGCCAAAAATTGAATAATTTATTGCAAGTATCAAATTTGATACATTGATCGACCTTTAAAATAAATATGAACCATATATTTTATTTTTATAATTTTTTGTTGTTGTATTTATGACATTATACATTATATTTAAAGGTTATTTTGAGAAAATAGTTAAAAATAATCTTTTAACTTTTAATCTATTTTGAGTTATGTCATCTCTCATATTTTTTACACATTTTTTCAAAAAAAAAATTTAAAAATTAACTTTTAATCATATTTCTAAAACAATCCTAAAATTTAATGCTCAAATATTATCATTATATCATATAAAATGAGAATATAATGTGATCTTGTCCTAACATGTTTTTTGTTTTCATTTTTATCAAAAATAAACAAAATCATGTTTAATGTTGGCTGCAATTAATAGACTTTTTGTAGGTTGACGAGCATAAATTCAATTCGAGGAGGGTACTCTACGTCGGAGAAGATAAGAACCAGTTGACTTTTCATACCATAATTTAATATTTTTTTACTTTGTTATCATTATTAAAAATGAAAACAGTTGACCTTCATACCATAATTTAATATTTTCGACTTTGTTATCATTTTTAATAAAAACTAGTTTGGCACCCTTTAAAAAAAAAGTCAAAAATTCAAAAAGTTATATAAAAAATTATAAAGTTATTACTATTCACTAAAAAAATATTAAAAAATTAATATACAAATATTAATATAAATCAAAAAGTTGGAAAAATATTAAAAAATTAATATATAAATATTAATACAAATCAAAAAGTTGGCCCAAATGATGGTACTGACGTGATGAGTTCAGTCAGGGACAAAGAAAAAAAAAATTATAGTAGAATATTCACTAAATCTTAATAGTAAAATTGGGCCTGTGGAAGCCACCATGGGTCCCGTTTTGATAATCTGAACCGTTCAATATGTAAAACTCGTCTAATACTATATAACTGTAAAAAAATACGTTTATTGAATATCGCTAACTATATGATTAAATCAGTTTTGTATAGAAATGGATGGTGTTATAGTTAACAGTTAACACAAAAAATTAACACGATCAGATATCTATCAATATCCAATCAACGTGATTTTTAACAAAACATATAGTACTCGACTAGTTCTACACATTGAACAGTTCTAATTAGAAAAACGGGACCCGTGGTGGCCCCTACGAGCCAAACAACACCATCCAATCAAAGCCCGAGAAGGAGACAATATTTCCTCATCTACTCACTCAGCAGGCTCCTCTGCCAATCCGTACGGCCTCCAACCTTATCTTCTACTACACACTTATTTATACAATTTTTAATACACATTTTTTCACAAAAAGTGTAAAAGTTAACACAAACATCCATATTTTTTTCTTCAACTTTTTAGTCCAAAAAAAAAAGTGCACTTATTTAAGAAACCCCAAACAAGCTGTAAATATGAAAACTTTTGTCAGCTGTAGTCGGCAGCACGACTGTTGATGGAAAAGTAAGTGGTTTTTGCTGTGTTTCAGTTTTTAATTTATTTTGAATTACATTACTTTTTATATTTTTTAAAAAAATTAAAAGTCAATTTTTAACAATATTTCCAAATAATTCTAAAATTTAATACTCAAATATTATCATTATATCATATAGAATGAGAATATAGGCTATTTAATCGACTTTTTGCAAGTTGACTGGCACAAATTCAATTCAAGGGGGCTCTGCGTCGGAGAAGATAAGAACCAATGGACTTCATAACATCCTTTAATATTTTTGACTTATTATCATCTATATAACAAAACAGCTCAATTTTTTTGACTTATTATCATTATTAAACATGGAAACTTTTGTTAGCTGTAATCGGCACGGCTGTTGGTTGAGAAGTCAGTGGGTTTGGATTGGATCAGAGACTTATCCTTGTCCAAAAACAAACGCATCCAAATTGACAATTCTCAACTTGAGAGTTAATATTTTAATTTCTCATTTTATTTTTTCACCCAAAATGTTCCACAAATTCAATTTTTATACAAAATCTACAATGAATGGTGCTGTAATTTTTGAAATTATAAATTACAATAATAAATATTTTAATCGAAAATAAAAAGATCATAAATAATTTTTGATTTTTTTTTAATGAAAATTTGATTTACAAATTATATTTGCATAATGTTACATGTATATAAGGGCCAAAAAATGCAGAGACATAAAATTGTGTAGCATTTCCCTTGGAATTCATATACTGAAAAACTGTCCCAAAAAAATTATCCTTAAAAGTATATTAAAAATAAAATATATACGATGTGTAGGTTCTACTTAAATTAAAGTTTGGTCTACACATTTTATTTTTGGAAGTATATTTTTTTAGAGCATATTATTACTGCTCGTTTCCAACCATTTTCTACTATTGTTTAGGGGTGTGCAAAAAAACCTCAGACCTGACAATCTATGCTGACTCAAATCAACTTGCGTGATTTGCAAATGAGAGTTGATAAAAAAAAAGATGCTTCGGTTGGTTTACAAGTTAAAATTTGTCAACTTGTCTATAAACTGATTCAACCTATTTATATGTGTATACATAATTATTTTTGCACTTGTGCACACACAATCTTTCTTTAATCCTGATGTCATTATTCATATGACACCCACCCCTCATTTTTATTGCATTTTCCCCTTATTTGATTCTTTTGTATATTAGTTTTGTAAAGTATGATTTTGAATAATGCATTCAATTAATTTGTAATTTTTGTGTTAGAATGTGAAATTAAGAAGAAAAAAATTTGTTTGAAATTTTTAAAAATGGAAGGGTAAATGTTCACTAATGTCTTTTTATATTTTATATTTTAATCTCGCCTAACTTGCTTAAACTGTTGATTTAAAACAACTAAAACAAAGCTGTCAATTTTACGGATAAATGGCAACGAGCTGAAAATGTAATTTTTGTGTTAGAATGTGAAATTAAGAAGAAAAAAATTTGTTTGAAATTTTTAAAAATGGAAGGGTAAATGTTCACTAATGTCTTTTTATATTTTATATTTTAATCTCGCCTAACTTGCTTAAACTGTTGATTTAAAACAACTAAAACAAAGCGGTCAATTTTACAGATAAATGGCAACGAGCTGAAAATTCTCAACATGATTTAAATTGATAATTTTTGTATTAAAATTCAAATGTTTGGGCTCATGTCGGTTCTATTTCAATTATCTAAACATTTCATTTTGTAAGACTTTTTATGTATGTCATTTTAACATAATTAAGTCAATCCGATAATCGTAACATTTTCATTTTATCACGTTTGTTTTTTTTTTTAATTTATTTAAAAGAATGATAAGTGTGTTTTTAAAAATAAACTCTCCATTTTTTGAAAACAAATGCAATAAAAATGAAGATGTTACAATTATCATATTGATTTTTTTTTTCCACAAATGATATATGTACACAGAATGCCTTACAAAATGAATGGTTCAAATAATTGAAATAGGACACGTGATGAGCCCTAAGAACCTAAACATAACGATCAAGTTGAAATTTTATATGATTTCTCAGCAGAAAATGTATTTATTCAACAATTTTTAACTTCCAAACTGTAAGAAATAACCAAGCCTGTACTTGAATGAGGTGGAACCTCCTTCAATTTTGGCCGATTTATTATATTTGTATTATTGGGTGATTGGTTTGAGTTATGATATGATAATACAATTGTGATAGAAATCCTCACACATGCATGATTCCTACAATTTCTATTCTCATCCCAACTACTCATAATATGAGATCCATACTTACATACGTGAAATCCACGTACCCTTGTCCCAACTACTCATAATGTGGAATCCATACTTACATGCGTGAAATCTACATGCACATCAAAGGTCAAAATTAAAATGAGGATCATGAAATCCTAAAAAAAGTCTCAAACATTTCTATATGACAATATTAGGTGGTATCTTATCCATATGCAACAATTTTTCAATAATATAGACACCGGGTACATAACGTGTAATAACCCACCACGTCAGAGCCGTACACCGTCTTTGATCTATAAATAGCACTTCCTTTGCCATGCATATTATTATCAATGTCACACATATAATAAAGTATACAAAAACCTTTTACAATGAAGACAACAATATTCCTCTCAATATTTATTCTCTCTACCTTCTCTTCAAACTTGATATTTCTCAGCACAGCCAACTCTGCTCCCAGCCCAGTCCGCGACATAGATGGCAAAGAGGTCCGAGCAGGCATCGATTACTACATCCTGCCCGTATTCCGCGGCAAAGGTGGTGGGCTAACCCTAGCCAGCACCACCCAAAGGTGCCCACTCGACGTGGTCCAAGCACGACAAGAGGTCGACCATGGCCTCCCATTAACATTCTCTCCTGTAAACCCTAAAAAAGGCGTGGTTCGGGTATCAACCGATCTGAACATCAAGTTCTCTGCCGCGACTATCTGTGTTCAATCAACTGTGTGGAGGCTCGCCAATTATGATGAGTCAACAGGACGATACTTTGTAACAACTGGTGGTGTTGAGGGAAACCCTGGTCCCGAAACCGTGAGTAATTGGTTTAAGATTGAAAAGTTTAATGATGATTATAAGCTTGTTTTCTGTCCCGGGGTGTGTGATGTCTGCAAAGTTATTTGTAGAGATGTTGGGATTTATATTGATGCGCATGGAAGGAGGCGTTTGGCTCTGAGTGATGTGCCATTCAAAGTCATGTTTAAGAAGGCTTAATGGTTGGTTTAGTTTCAATTATATAAGAACAGTAAGCACTGTTAAATAAAGAATCCTTGTTGTTCTTTCATGTAATGTTGCAATAAAGGTGTTGTCAGGTCATGTATCCTCACAAACCAAACAAGTAATAAATTGACTATTGTATTGTATTCCATAGTATTGCCGTATTTCATTTTCAAATTGTAGACGGAAATTTTTTGTCAGGTTTGGTATGATGAAAAATAAAAATTAATAGAAAATATTTTTTGTAGCTAATGAAAAATAAATTTTTTTGAACATAAAAATATTTTCTTTTTAAGAGGTAAAAATAATTTTTAAATTAAAATCTTACTAAAATTATCACACTATTACGCTACTCTCACCTCCACCACCATATCACCTTTACTATCATCACTACCCCACCACCACCTCCACCCCTACCTTTGTTCCAAGCTGCCATGACCTCCCCCACCTTTGTCCCACTACCACTACCCTTTCTTTGTTCCACTACCACTATTAAAAATAGAAAAATATTTTCTAATTTTTTTTTTTATAGAAAATATTTTCCATTAAAATACCAAACAAAGAAACGGTGTAGAGAGTATATAGACAACTAGCCAGCACCACCCAAAGGTGCCCACTCGACGTGGTCCAAGCACGACAAGAGGTCGACCATGGCCTCCCATTAACATTCTCTCCTGTAAACCCTAAAAAAGGCGTGGTTCGGGTATCAACCGATCTGAACATCAAGTTCTCTGCCGCGACTATCTGTGTTCAATCAACTGTGTGGCGGCTCGCCAATTATGAGAAGTCAACAGGACAATACTTTGTAACAACTGGTGGTGTTGAGGGAAACCCTGGTCCCGAAACCGTGCGTAATTGGTTTAAGATTGAAAAGTTTAATGATGATTATAAGCTTGTTTTCTGTCCCGGGGTGTGTGATGTCTGCAAAGTTATTTGTAGAGATGTTGGGATTTATATCGATGAGCATGGAACGAGGCGTTTGGCTCTGAGTGATGTGCCATTCAAAGTCATGTTTAAGAAGGCTTAATGGTTGGTTTAGTTTCAATTATATAAGAACAATAAGCACTGTTAAATAAAGAATCCTTATTGTTCTTTCATGTAATGTTGCAATAAAGATTTCGTCAGGTCATGTATCCTCACAAACCAAACAAGTAATAAATTGACTATTGTATTGTATTCCATAATATTGCCGTATTTCATTTTCAAATTGTAGACGGAAATTTTTGTCAGGTTTGGTATGATGAAAAATAAAAATTAATAGAAAATATTTTTTGTAGCTAACGAAAAATAATTTTTTGTTAACATAAAATATTTTCTTTTTAAGAGGTAAAAATAATTTTTAAATTAAAATCTTACTAAAATTACCACACTATTACACTACTTTCACCTCCACCACCATATCACCTTCACTATCATCACCACCCCACCACCACCTCCACCCCTACCTTTGTTCCAAGCTGCCATGACCTCCCCCACCTTTGTCCCACTACCACTACCCTTTCTTTGTTCCACTACCACTATTAAATATAGAAAAATATTTTCTAATTTTTTTTTTTTATAAAAAATATTTTCCATTAAAATACCAAACAAAGAAACGGTGTGGAGAGTATATAGACAACAGTTTGAGGGAAGTGTAACCGTAATTATTATTTTGTCAGTACCTGTGGCCTAGTGGTAAGTCGAATCTACTAACTCAACTCCAAATAGCTCAGTTTCCATCAAATGTTAAGGTGGTGTTTGGAAACTTTCCAAAAAAATCACAAAGTAAAAAAATGACTACAAAAATCAATGCTTAAACACTCCAGTCAAAACTCAAATTTATCATTTATTTTTTTAAAATACAAATGTGATAAATTGAATAAATTATAATTATGAGATTAAGCTAATTTTTTGAATAGATAATATACATGAATGATTCTATAACTTGAGCTCACCTCTCTCCTCTATATACATATATTTGTACATACATTCATACATACATGCATTCGTCCAGCCATTCATTTATTTATGTTATTCATTTATCAAATGTATTATTTGTCAAAGGACCTAACATCTATTTGAATAGCATAACTTGGCAATAAAAACTTTAATTCCTTCTACCAAAGACAATGAAAGTTTTGGGGCAATAAATTGTGGGAGCCAAAAAATAATATATATCAACTTATTGGGCTAACCCAAACAAAGCCTGCCAAGGGGTCAACTATTGGGCTTATTCGGCCCACCCCCCATCTATAAAACGAAGGCACCTCCCAAGTGGAAGGTATGTTCTCTTCCTTACACTACACACCAAGCACTCTACACTTTCTAGACTTTCATTCTGCTTAATAGGTGACTGACTTCACCATCGGAGTGCCTCCGGCCGGCAATCCCGATTGGGTGGCGCCGATCATGCTCATCTTTGCAGGTATACCAGAACCAAGTTCATCTCTTCGTTGGATCTCTACAATCCATGTGAGAGGATATTTCATGATCTCACAGATTGGTAGCATCACTTCTTTTTTTTTTTTTTATGTGGCATTGTTTCCTTCACCCCAAGTCCCTCTCTCTATTTATTTACGTTTCCTTCCTTGTTTAGAAAAAAAACATAGCTTCAATTCAAGCCTCCCTTTTATTAATCATATCATCACTACACACACACACACAGAGATCAACAATGAAGGTTAAAGTGAAATCTAGAGAGATCATCAAACCATCAATCCCAACCCTTATCCACCTTCCCTATATGCAACTCTCCTTTTTTGATCAAATAAACTGTCAATTGTTAGTTCCTTTCATTTACTTCTACACCACTACCACCAACTTTCAAAGACCTCAGCAGTTAAAGAAGTCCTTGGCAGAGACACTTACAAAGTTCTTACCTAAGGATGGATCTAGGGGGGGCTAGGGGGGCAGCCGCACCCCCAAAAATTTGAAAAATATCATATATTATAGTAGAAATTTTAAAAAAAATTAAAATTATAGGAGTTCGCACCCCAAACTATTTTTAGATAATTTCAAAATTGTATAGAGTAGCCCCCCAATTACAGTTGATTTTCAGTTACAATAATTAAACAATAGGTTTAAGGAAGATGTAATAGAATTGCTTGTTCTTAGCTCAACTTTGGATCCTAGGGATGGTTATAGATCATTCAAAATTGAGAATATTTGCAATCTTGCAAATAAATTTTATCCCATGGATTGCACTGAGCAAGAAAAATTGCATTTGAAGTATCAGTTGAAAAACTATAAGCTTGATATTTTCATATTTCCCGAGTTTCAGAAGTTGTCAACCATTTCTGAGTTATGTTGGCAAAAACAAAAAAGTCAACAAGTTATCCTCTTATTGATAAATTGATCGGTTTTGTGTTGACTTTACCTGTTTCAACTGTTACATCAGAATGTGCATTTTCAGCTGTGAAACTCGTTAAGTCTAAATTGCGTAATAGGATGGAAGATGGTTTTCTGTCTAATTACTTGATTACGTACATTGAAAAAGACCTTACTCGAGGGTTTGATGTAGACTTTATCATCATGCTTTTGATATTATGAAAGAGCGTCGAGCTCAATTGAAGATGCCTAATTTTAGTAAATAAATGCATGTAGAAATAGTTACTACTTTTTGTAACTGAATATGGGTAAAAAAATATTCTCAATTGTATGATCATCTTTTGTAGTCAACTATGTTGACAGGGAATATGTAGTTCAATATTTTATCGTAACATTATTGATTTTTTTTTCGTATTAGAAGAAATTGGTATTGAACTTCAAATTTTATTAGTTAGAGGTTAAACGTACTTTGGCCCCCCAAAAATCATAATCCTGGATCCGTTCTTATTCTTACCCCTTTGCTGGACGGCTCAAAGAAGATGACCTCTACGTCGACTGCAATGACCAAGGTGTCGACCACTTCGAAACTCAAGCAAAATGAAAACTCATTGATCTTGTCAAACAACAAGATTACCATGAATTTAATAAGTTACTTCCATATTGCGAACTAACAGATTGCGATATTGGAAATCTAACTTTGGTAATCCAACTAAACTTCTTCGACTATGGAGGCGTTGCTATTGGAGCCTATTTTTCTCACAAGATCGCGGACCGCGTTGTCCTTCTTCATATTTTTCAACAGTTAGACAGTCGCCTCTCGAGGGAATACCATTATCAATTGTCCTTGTTTTGATTTGGCTTGTTGTGCTATCACCCCATGTGAGGGGTGATTCTTTTCTCCATATAAAACCAATGCAACAAGTCAAGGAAGACGACCGCCAACTAACAAGCCGTAATGAACGGCCACCGAAAGGAGAAAAAGAGAGCTGACAGCTAGCTCACATAGAAGACTTCCTCTCCTACCATTATATGTATAAATGAAGAGGGTGGGGGAGAGAGAGTGAGTGAGTTGGAAAACCGTGAGTGGGAAAATGTAGATAGTGAGATAAAGAGTCCCTCTGTGTGAGAGAGGGAAGCTCCCTCTGTGTGAGAGGAAGAGCTTAGTGGGAGTTGAGTGAGAGTGGTCTCCTCCTCTGTTGTGTAAATCTCTTTGTAATATCTATTTGTAGTTGTTATCCCAAGTAGGCAACCCAAGAGTGGGTGAATTTGGTTACCAAAAAATTTTACAATATTAAAAAATAATAAACACAATATTCAGAATTTTAACAAATAAAAAACAGAATAATAATTATCAATATAAAAGTAAGAGAGATAGAAATCAAACATTGAGATTTATAATAGTTCGGCACGCCGGACCTACGTCGACTCCCCAAGGAACCTCCTTGAGAATTCCTATACTATCAAAAGGAATCAATACACCACCAAGGCTTCACCAAGCCTGTGGATTTTGCACAGGTCTTATTTTTATCTATTGAGCCTCACTCAACAATAAATTGCTCACTCTTACAAAACTACTTCACAAAATAATAAATAAGGATAAGAGGTACTCAACCCTCTTTTACAATAATTCTTTCATAAAAAGTAGATATGAAAGTATAAGAACAAAGAGTACACTTAGATCTGAAAGTAAACGATCAGAATACAATACAATCAAAATTTTGAAGAACACATAATTTTTCTCTTCAAGTTCTTAATTTTTTTTCACACAAAACACTTCAATTTATCCCCAAAATTCTATTCGTTCGGAGATGAGATGCTCCTCTTGACAAAACAGATGCTCCTGGTACTCCTTGATTTAAAATAGACAGTAAATGATAATATTTGAAAAAATGATAAAAGTAAAACCATCTTTTTCCTTTTTTTTAAACATGGAGCCACCATTTTTTCTCTTGAAAGCAATTTGTTGTGTCAAATGTTGGCAAAAGCAAAAAGTCAACAAGTTATCCTCTTATTGATTGATTGATCCGTCTTGTGTTGACTTTACCTGTTTCAACTGTTACATCAGAACGTGCATTTTCAGCTATGAAACTCGTTAAGTCTAAATTGCACAATAGGATGGAAGATGGTTTTCTGGCTAGTTCCTTGATTACGTACATTGAAAAAGACATTACTCAAGGGTTTGATGTAGACTCTATCATTCATGCTTTTGATATTATGAAAATGCGTCGAGCTCAATTGAAGATACCTAATTTTTTTAAATAAATGCATGTAGAAATAGTTACTACTTTTTGTAACTGAATATAGGCAAAAAAATATTCTCAATTGTATGATCATCTTTTTGTAGTCAACTATGTTGACAGGGAATATGTAATTCAATATTTTATCGTAACATTATTGATTTTTTTTTCATGTTAGAAGAAATTAGTATTGAACTTCAAATTTTATTGGTTAGAGGTTAAACGTACTTTGGCCCCCCCAAAGTCATAATCCTAGATCCGTCCCTGTTCTTACCCCTTTGCTGGACGCCTCAAAGAAAACGACCTCTACGTTGACTGCAATGACCAAGGTGTCGACCACTTCGAAACTCAAGCAAAATGAAAACTCATTGATCTTGTCAAACAACACAATTACCATGAATTTAATAAGTTATTTCCATATTGCGAACTAACAGATTGCGATGTTGGAAATCTAACTTTGGTAATCCAACTAAACTTCTTCGACTATGGAGGTGTTGCTATTGGAGCCTATTCTTCTCACAAGATCGCGGACCGCGTTGTCTTTCTTCATATTTTTCAACAGTTGGACAGTCGCCTCTCGAGGGGATACCATTATCAATTGTCCTTGTTTTGATTTGGCTTGTTGTGCTATCACCCCATAT